TATGGATATATAGAGACTTCTTTCCCACCCTCTACATACACACACACACACACACACACACACAGAAACCTCCTCAAATCAATTAGATATTCTGAATACTTAAAAATCAGCGCTCAAAAATCTCAAAGAAACACAGTTGCTCCATCAAAAAAAGGACTTGACCCATTTGCCAAAATCATTTGCCAAGTTCCACTTCTTTTCTAAAACCAAGTACGTTAATCAAACGCAGAGCTTCAAAAGGGCTTCATTCTGAGTGATCCAACAGACAAATAAATTAGCTGCCAATGGAACCAGGCTGGCCCAAGGGGATGGGGCTAAATCAAAAAGGGGACCCTCCAAGTAAAAGCAGCATTTGGGGGTCTAAAGCAAATCAATAAAGCCGTCCCACACACTCATTTCCAAGAGTCAGGGTGAGCCAAGCACATGTGTGTTTATTCACTAAAAAGAAGATGCAAATGCCCCACATCTGATGGGTTTCTTATGTGCTACGACCATAAAAATGCTTGTGTCTGGAGTACACATTTGTTTGAGCGTCATGCTCAACGGTGGCAACTTATAAACCTGAACGCGCCCTAACCGGTTTGGCTCAGTGGATAGAGCACCGGCCTGCGGACTGAAAGGTCCCAAGTTTGATTCCGGTCAAGGGCATGTACCTTGGTTGCGGGCACATCCCTAGTAGGAGGTGGGCAGGAGGCAGCTGATCGATGTTTCTCTCTCATCATTGTTTCTAACTCTCTATCCCTCTCCCTTCCTCTCTGTAAAAAATCCATTAAAAATTTAAAAAAACCTGAACGCACATCTTACACTTATGATCTACCTTTCCTTTTGAAACAATGTAACTAACTCTGGAAGGGGTTTGGGTGTGTTTTTTTTTCTCTCTTTATTGCAGGGAGGAATTGCTTAAGATTTCTCATTTAAGTATGTGAAGAACTGTCCATTTTTAATTTACAGAGCTTTTAACTGGTGACTCAGAGAGGGATGATGTCATATGTTATCCTAGAACGGCTGGTGTGGTTCTCTCTGCTCACTTACACCATTCCCCTGTTTTCTGCGGCCGACAGTACTCCCCAGTTTCCACCCTTTCATCAGCCTCTTCCCAGCCAGCCACAGGCAAACAGCCTCCCCAGCAGAGGACGAACAGGAAGTCTGACAGCTCGAGTCTGCAGTGGGACCCCTAGTGCTTTCCCACTCCAGGTCCTGGCAGCGTTCCCCACAAGTACAAACACACGCACACAGAGCTCCCATTGTTGCAGCCTTCCCCAGCCCACGGATCCTAATATGGAATGCAGCAGGAAACCCATGATTTCCTGACACTCCGCAGGCTGGAGGAAGCAAGGGGGGAACTCCATTAAAAACCCCGGCTCTCCTCCATGCTAGCTGTGAAGTGGGAAATGGGGAAGATTCAGCAAAATCCCTTGTCTGCAGCCAGGCTGGAGACGGGGAGAGCAGAGTGAAACCCGCGGGCTGCTGAAATTTCCAGACTGCCAGGAAGCCCCTAGTCCTCCGTGAAAATGAGGGTTTCTGGACTCACAGTGCTAGGGAAACGGGACAGACC